TTGTTCTCCAGATTTCTTGACACAACTTGGTGAGCACGTCCAGGGCAGCATCTGTTAGCTGAAATATGTCAATTGGAAACTAAGAAGGGACTGTGTCAGGATTGTGTTCTCTCTCCATAGCTATTCAATCTGTATGTTGAGCAAATTATTCAAGAAGCTTGAGTCTATGAAGAGGAATGTGGCATCAGGATCAGAGGGAGACTCATTATTATGCAGATAACACAACTTTGCTTGCTGAAAGTGAGAAGGACTTGAAGCACTTGTTGCAGAAAATCAAAGAATACAGTCTTCAATATGGATTTTATCTCAGTGTCAAGTAAACAAAGACTCTTACCGCTGGACAGATAGGCAACATCATGATAGATAGAGACAATTTTGAAACTGTCAATAATTTCACCTTATTTTGATCCATAATTAACATCCTTGGTAACAGCAGTCATAAAATCCGGAAACATATTGCACTGGAGAAAGTCTACAGTTAAGTACCTCTCAAGATTATTAAGGAGTAATGATGGCCAGAAGAGATCGATTCTTGGAGAAGGACATCGTGATCGGAAGGGTGGAGGGACAGCAGTGGAGAGGAAGACCCCGGATGAGATGGGTTAATACAGCTTCTGTGGCAATGGGAGTTGGTGTGTCGGAATTAGTGAGAATGGCTCAGGACAGGGAAGGGTTCAGGGCTGCTGTAAATAGGGTTGCTATACATTGCAGATGACTCAAAGTCACATAACAACAAAAACATACTATATTGGTTGTTTGGAGTTTTTTGTGTGGGTTTTTTTTTATTTTATTTAAGCCTCTTGTTTAGAGTCAACAAGACCTGATAGAGGGCCTTTGTATTTAAAAGTTTGCTGTTAGTATATCTTGGAGGAACATTCTTCTAAGTGGTACAGCACTCCTCTGTATGAACTTTGTACCACTGGGGTATCAAATGTCATAATGGTTACCCATGGTGAACAGTGTTTGATAGAGCTCTCAGTTTAAGACAGGTTTAGAAGCAGGAGTGGCATCCACTTCCTAAACAACATGCCTCTGGAAACTCTATGAACTTTGATAAATGACAATAGTTATAGAAAGCCTTCGGGCCTTTTGTTCATAGGTTCACTATGAGTATTGCTTCAACTTGATGGCAATCAACAACAACAACAACGATAATGTCAGAGGACTAAGGTGCATTTGATTCAGGCCATGGTCTTTCTAATCATTTGCTATACATCTGAGAGCTGGACATGAATAAAATTACAAACTGAAGAATGGATGCCTTTGAGGCTGTGGTGTTGAAGAAGAGTAATGAACATCCCATGAAATGCGAAAGAACAAAAAAAAAATATGTCTTGGAGAAAGTACAGCCAAAGTGCTCTTTGGAAGCAAAGATGATGAGGCTTTCCCTCACATACTTCAGGCATGTTGCTAGGAGGAGCTATTCCTTGGAGAGAGACCTGATTCTTGGTCATCAAAAGAGGCAGACCCTTGACCAGGTAGATTGACACAGTGACTACACAATGGGCTCTCATGTGTCAGGAAGTGTGAAGTTGGCTCAGGATAAAGAGGGTTCAGATCTGTTGTTTATAGCATTCCTATGGGTCATATTCGATGCAGCAGCACCTAACAACACCACCACTATGAGTCAGAATTTACTTGCTATGAGTGAGAATTTATTTGACAGCAGTGTTCCTACATAAGTTAATATAAGTTTTTGCTCATATTTGTGAAATCCATAGCAACATGAAATTCTGCTAGTTACTCCCCAGACTTCTGTATAATAACATCTTCTTAGCTATTCTAGTATCTTCTCCAAGCTAGTCAAGTTATGATGACATCACTTCCTGCTCAAAAAATTGCCCCGACCTGTCTTTATTAATACTCCACCTTGACATCAAGAAAATAAAATCCTAAGCACTGGACCAATAGTCAACATCATAGTAAATGGAGAAAAGAGTGAAGCTGTTAAGTATTTTGCCTGGCTTCACAATCAAAACTCATTGTAGCCGCAATCAAGAAATCAAAAGACATGTAGCATTGGGCAAATATGCTCTTCTTTTTCCTGGATCCACCACCAACACCCTTGAAAACAACAGTTAAGAACATTGCATTGGGCAAATCCACTATCAAGAATTTATTTTTCCCCCCAAGAACTTCTTTAAAAGACTAAATTGCAAGGTTATTGGTTTGAAGACTAAGGTGCACTTAAACCAATCCATGGTGTTTTCTGTTATTTCATATGGGTGTGAAAGGTGGATAGTTGATTAAAAAAATGGGAAAGACCAAACATAATGCCTTTGAATTGTGGTATTGGCAAGGAACATAGAATATTCCATAGAGTGTCAAAAGAAAAAGCAAACATGTCTTGAAGAAGTGTATCCAGTGTTCCTTACAGGCAAGGCTGCTAGAATTTCATCCCACATACTTTGAACATGTGGTCAGGAGCACCAGTCCTTGAGGGGAAAAAGCATCATGCTTTGGAAAGAAGGAAGGTCAGCAGAGAAGAGGAAGACCCTCAACTATATGAACTGACCACCTGTCTGCAGCAGTGGGCAGACTGTGAAGATGACACGGGATAGGGCAAAGGTTCAATCTGTTCACAGGGTTGCTGTGAGTCAGAATCTCCTTGACACCACCTAACAACAACATTAAACTATAGGATTTCTTTTTTTCCTGCTTCCATTGCATCACTGTAAAACTCATCTACTTATGCTATTATCTTCTCTCTTCTCTAGGAGACTAGACAACCTAGGCTCCCTGGTAAGGTGGACTCTGTCCTGTTGTCCTCTTGACACCTACTTTGCTCTGAATTACAGCAGTGTAATATGTGTACCTGTCTCACCTCTTCTCTCACTTCACTAATTTTTCTGTACTCCACGGACCCTAAAGAAAGCACTTCACATAGAAAAAGTCCTAGAAGCTGAGATTTTAGATGTACTTTAAAATACTGTTCTCTATAACTTAATTATAAAGGAAACTATTATGATTTCCTCCACTGAGTTTGTGGGTTTTGTTTGTTTTATAGTTTAAACTATTATTATGTTGGTTATATGCTTTGAAAGTGCTAAAATCCTTGATGCAGTGAAGGTTAAAAAACAATAGTTTTAGATATACGTTTTTAAAAGCTCAAATGTAATGTCCCCATGAAAACTCTACCCCTTTCTCACCAGCAAGCGGAAGCTACAGGTAGTAACGAGGATGAATATAGCATTTTGCCTTCCGATTTCTTTAGGGTAGCAATCAAAACAAGCATTGTATCTTTCCTTTATCTTCATCAAAAGCTAATATTCCAGTATATATCTTTTATAACATCTCAAACTATTTTTGCTACACACAGAGTTACCAAAATGTCCTGGAGAAACTGAAATGGAAGAAAAAAGAAAAGGCTCAAGACAAGAAAATGTAAGATGGCTTTTCTTAAAATTTTAATTTCTCAGGCAACATGCTGAGCTGTGACAAAGAGAGCTGACTTGAAACCCCCCTTGGACAGAAACCAGTTAAGTGGAGCATCTGGTCTTAACCACATAATCACTCCTTAGGCAAAGGAGAAAATAGAGTTTGGGAGAGGGAACTAAAATAAGGTGAGATTCCTGCAGGGCTGCACTGTAGATGAGAGAAAACCTGAAGAACTTTAGGAAAAGCAAATTTCCAAGAAAGGTCTTCCAGTGGACTGAGTAGCTGTATCGAAAGGAACTGGAAGACACAGAAGAATTTCATGAAACAACATATGAGCAAGAGCCTATGGTGACAAAAGAAGTAGTTCAGGCTGCTTTGATGGAAATGGCAAAAAATAAGGCTCCAGGAATAGATGGTATACCAATTGACATATTTCAACTAACAGATGCTGCCCTGGATGTGCTCACCAAGTTGTGCCAAGAAATCTACTGAAGATTATCCAAAAACAACTGGAACAGTATATCAGCAGAGAACTACCAGATGTCCAGGCTGGGTTTAGAAGGGGTCGTGGTACTAGGGATATTGTAGCAGATGTCAGATGGATCTTAGCTGAAAGCAGGGAATACCAGGGGAATGTCTATCTGTGTTTCATTGACTATGCAAAGGCATTTGACTGTGTGGATCATAACAAACTATGGCTGACTCTGAGAAGAATGGGAATCTCAGAACATTTGATTGTTCTAATGTGAAACCTATACTTGGACCAGGAGGCAGTCATCAGAACAGAATAAGAGAACACTGCATGGTTCAAAATTGGGAAGGGCGTACACCGGGGATGTATCCTATCTCCATACCTTTTCAACCTATATGCAGAACAGATTATCCGGGAGGCTGGGCTCTATGAGGAGAAATGTGGGGTCAAGACTGGTGGACGATTTATCAACAATCTGCGTCATGCAGATGACACAACCCTGCTTGTTGAAAATGAAGAAGACCTGAAGCACCTGCTGCAGAGTGTCAAGGACTGCAGCCTCCAATATGGATTGAGGCTCAATGTCAAGAAAACAAAGATTCTCACCACTGGACCATTTGGCAGCATCAGGATGGATGATGAAGAGATTGAGATTGTACACAGCTTTAGTTTGCTCGGCTCCACAGTCAACACTCTTGGCACCAGCAGCCAGGAAATTAAAAGGCGCATTTCCATGGGAAAGTCTGCTGTTAGGGACCTTTCCAAACTACTGAAGAGCATTGGTGTCTCTCTAGAGACTAAGGTGCATCTGATACAGGCCATAGTCTTTGCAATCTCTTGTTATGCATCAGAGAGTTGGACAATGACCAAGGAGGATAGAAGGAGAATTGATGCCTTTGAGCTGTGGTGCTGGAGAAGAGTATTGAGAATACCATGGACTGCTAGGAAAACAAACAGATTTGTCCTGGAAAGGGTTTAACCAGGCTACTTCTTGGAGACAAGGATTCTAGGGCTTTGTCTGACATACTTTGGACATTTGGACATGTTGTAAGGAGAGACAGGTCCTTGGAGAGGGACATCATGCTTGGGAGGGTGGAGGGACAGTGCAGGAGGGGAAGGCCCTCTATGAGGTGGATTGATTGAGTGACTGGAAAAATCAGGATGGGAGTGTCAGAGACAGTGCAATTGGCACAGGACAGAGCAGAGTTTAGGGCTGTTGTACATGGGTCGCTATGAGTCGCAAACGACTCGACGGCACATAACAACAACAACATTATAGAAGAAATACCATGGAGTAAGGTTTTGTGTGCCCAACATCCATTGTCATAGATGGGTGATTCTAAATTTGTTATCAATGTATCTAGTCCTTTCTTATTTTCTAAAGGTGTCATGAAACTCTAAGCTAATTTTTTTCTAAGCTAATTTTTTATTGTTGTTGTTATGTGCCATTGAATCATCTGTGACCTAGAGCAACCCTATGTACAACAGCTCTGAACCGTACCCTGTCCTAAGGCAGTCTCACTGACTCCAACACTCCTACTCCCCATTTCCCTAGTTACTGTATCAATGTATCTCCTCCATCCTTCTAAGCATGATGTCTTTCTCCAAGGACTGGTTCCTCCTGGCCACATGCCCAAAATATGTGAGATGGAGCTTCAAAATCCTAGCCTCCCAGTATAAACTTGGCTTAACCCTCTCCAAGACAGACTTAGGTGTTTTCTTGGCAGTCTATGTTTATGTTATGTTCAATACTCTTCTTCAGCACCACAACTCAAAGGCATCAATTCTTCTTCTGTCATCCTTAGCCAATGCCCAGATCTCTGATGCATAGCAAATAATTGTGAAGACCACAGCCGAGATAAGGGGAACCTTATTTTCTAGACTGACATCATTGATTCTTAGTACTCTGGAGAGGTTCCTGAAAACAGATTTCTCTAATGCAATTTGTCTTTTGATTTCCTAACTGCTCGTGCCAAGAGTGTTGTTTGTGGAGCTGAGCAAGCTGAAATTGTTAACAACCTCAATTTCTTCTCAGGCCATTCACGGTGCTGCCAAATTGGCCCAGTGGTGACAATATTTGTCTTCTTAATGTTGAGCATCAGTCTATATTGAAGACTACAGTCCTTGACCATCTGTAGCAAGCACTTAAGATCTTCCTCAGTTTCAGCAAACAAGGTTGTCATCTGCATAACGTAGGTTGTAGTTAAGTCTTCTGCCAATCCTGATGCTGTATTCCTCCTCATAAAGCCCAGCCTCTAGAAAGATCTATTCTGCATATAGGTTGAAAAGGTATGGAGACAGGACAAATCCCTGATGCGTTCCCTTTCTGATTTTCAAAGATGCAGTGTTTCTTTGCTCTGTTCTGAAGACTGCTTCCTGGTTGAAGTATAGGTTTTGCATAAGTACAATCAAGTGTTCTGGGATTCCCATTCTCCTCAAGGTTAACCACAATTTGTTGTGATCCACACAGTCAAATGCCTTTGCATAGTCAATGAAACACAGATAGATATCCCTCCGTACTCTTTGCTTTCTGCCAAGATCCATCTGATGATTGGATCTTTATAATTGTTGATAATGTCTCTAGTGCCACGTCCTCTTCTAAATCCAGCTTGTGTTTCTTGAAGCTGTCCATGTACTGTTCCAGTTGTTTCTAGATAGTCTTCAGTAGGATTTTGCTTGTATGTGATATTAGAGATGTTGTACGATAAATATGGATCTCTTCCAGTCAGTTGGCCAAGTAATTGTCCTCCAGATGTCTTGGCACAACCTGGTGAGCAAGTCCAGGGCAGCATCTGTTTGTTGAAATAAGTCAATTGGTATTCCATCAATTCCTGGGGCTTTATTTTTTGCCAAGTCCTTCAGAGCAGCCTGAACTTTCTCCTTCATCACCATTGTCTCTGGGTCATATGTTGTTTCTTGAAATTCTTCTGTGTCAACCAATTCTTTTTGGTACAGTGGCTCTGTATACTCCTTCCATCTTCTTTTAATGCTTCCTGGATCATTCAATATTCTGCCCATAGCATCCTTAAGTATCACAACTCGTGGTTTAAATTTGTTCTTTAGTTCTTTCAACTTAAAGAAATGCTAAGTGAGTTTGGGCCTTTTTTTATTTTCTGACTCCAGTCTCACTAATTCTGACATTCCTACCCCTGTTTCCCCAGTTACTATATCAATCCATCTCATCCAGGGTCTTCCTCTCCTATGCAGTCTCTCCACCTTTCTGAGCATGATGTCCTCCTTGTCCAGGGATCATTCCCTCCTGGCCACATGCCCAAAGTATATGAGATGGAGCTTCAAAATCCTAGTCTCCAAGGAGAAACTTGATTTCACCCTCTCCAAGCTGGACCTTTGTTCTCCTGGCAGTCCACTATGGATATTTGTGTTCATTTCCGTGTGAAAATGCTTCCCAAACTCATATCCCTGGCAGCAGAATCTTTTATAAACACATTCTGGAGAAATTATTATCATATTCTCTGACTAATTAGCACAGATTATCAGAATAACAGAAATGCAATTCAGATCCTTACTATAGGTCTTGATGTATTTTGTGGTAATTTCGTTTCGTTTTCAGTGTTATGTACTTCTTCATTTTTATCTTATTTTCCCCACAGGAAAAGGAGCAGAGATTTTGTGGAACAAGCCAGAATGGAAGGCTTTGATGAAAGTGTAAGATTTTCATTTTTCACAAATGCAAGTGATGGTGGCATTACTGCATACCTATAAAAAAGTCCTCATTAAGAATTGGAAAGGTTTGATATTTTCAGAACATAGTTGATCCCCCTTACCCAATATCTAGATCCTTGAACTAGCTCTGGCAGCTTAGTAGTAAGAAATTATGTTGCCAACACAAAGGTACGAGGTTTAAATCCACTAGCTGCTCCATGGGAGAAAGATGGGCAATCAATTTCCATGTGATTACAGTCTCTGTAAGCCCACTATGTCAGTTCTGAGTTGGTTCCAACTAGAATGGTACATAACAACTTGAATTCCAGATGCCCTTTCTCCTATTTGTACTCTTAGCCAGATACCCTGGACCTCTAAGTGTATACTCCCAGTGGAGTGTTCACACTGGGTTGTTATTGTTGTGTGCATCGGATCAGAACTAACATAGTTGAACCTCCAGAAGGTTTTCAGAAGCCATAGAAATACACGGGAGAAGGGAGACTGCCCATAACTTCTCCCACAGCAGTTAGTGGATTTGAACCACATGCCGTTGGGATTACAGTACACCTTCTTACCAATAGGCCACTAGAGCTCCCTTTCAGATTGGATAGAGTGAGTATATTCTAGTGAGACCATAAGGAATAAAATATTTTTCATAATCCAATAATGTGATATTTAATGTAAATATATGTTAATGTTTCATTTTAAAAATTTGTATATATATATTCAACAAATTATTTAAAAGTACAATTTTTCAAAGTTTAAGAACTAAGATAAACACCATTATACCATCTACCCGGACAAAAAGGTGGAATGTTACTCTGCTCCTGACCAGAAAGAGGCTAGGCAGAGAAAGTAGGTGGGAGATTGGAATGAGTGCGCAAGCAAGTAAATATACTGGTGCAAGTTTTCTCAGATAAGGAAATTATAAAATAATCAGATAAGGAAGTTATAAAAATGGGAAGTTTGCAGGTTAAAATGACCTTGTGGTACTGGTCTAGAATTGAAGATGTCAGTCATGTTTTTTTTCTTAAGATCAATAGACGTTAAGGTAGGTAGATACAGATGGAAAATTAATAAATGTTGGGATGTGTGTGGATGTGTGTGCATGTGTAGTTTTTGTTTTTCAGTACCCTCCACTGAGGAAGAAGTGGCCTGGTTGCCCAGATGTTAAGTATCCAATTGCTAACTAAAACATCACTGGTTGGAACCTGCCAGCTACTCTGTGGGAGACAAACATGACAGTCAGCTTCCCTAAAGTGGTCCTCCATTTACAGCCTCAGAAACCTAATGGAGCAGTTCTACTCTGTCCTTCAGGGCACCTATATGAGTCAGGACCAATTCAATGGTGATGTGTTTAGTTTTCCACGTACAGGGTTAAAGCATCATGCTCAACTAGTGTGTAAATCTTGTTTTACGAGTACCGTTCTCCTCACAAAGGAAGCAGGCTCCTTAAAGATATGGCTAAGTACAAGGCTGAAAAGTACAAGATGCACCTAGAATATTTTTGTCGAGCCAAATGTTAAAGTGTTCAAAGAATGATGGAAATCTGTTTAAAAAGATACAAGCCAGTTTGAAGGGACTCCTACTGACCATTGTTGTTGTTGTTGTTGTGTCACCGTTGAGTCACAACTCATAGCGATCCCATATACAACAGCTCAGAACCCTGCTGTATCCTGAGACAACTTTATTGTCTCTGACACACCTATCTCCATAACCCCAGTCACTGTTTAAGTCCATCTCACCCAGAGTGTTCCTCTCTTGCACTGTCCCTCTACCCTTCCAAGCATGACGTCCCTCTCCAAGAATTGGTTCCTCTTGGCCATGTGCCTAAAGTATGTCAGACAGAGCTTCAAAATCCTTGCTTTTGAGGAGCAGCCTGGTTTCACCTTCTCCAGGAAAAACTTGTTCTCTTGGAGGTTCAATACTCTTCTCCAGCACCACAACTCAAAGACATTGATTCTTCTGTCCTCCTTAGTCATTGTCCAGCTCTCTGATGCATATCAAGTAATTGTGAAGACCATGGCCTGGATCAGGACTGTCCATAGACATAAGTATTTAAGCACTACAATAATAATAGTAACAGATTACAATACACTGCATAGGAATCTATAAATTCATACTGAAGTAAACATATGAATGAATTCATTAGAAAGCTGATGAGGAATGGGTGTTTTACATACCTTTACACAAAATACTAATTATATAAAGGAAAGGACTAACTTTAAAGTGGAGAAGACTGGCAGATATTCCCTTAAGTTATCAAAGTGACCACCAAAAGTAACAAGTGAAATTCCATGGCACCAGACAGGATGCCATGAGAAGGTCTCTATGCATTTTCTGTGACCTTTCTGCTAAAGATTAATAACTTTGAGTCTAATCATGATATAACATCAGACAAAACTAATATGAAGGGCAGTCTATAGAATTCTGGGCTATATTTTTCAAAAGGGTCAGTCATCATAGTTAGGGTAAAGCTGAGAACTATTCCAGATTGAATGAGACTTAAATGATTCTACAAGTATATACAATGCATAATCCTGGAATAGGGAGCTCTGGTGGCCTAGTGGCAAGAAGCTGCACTGCAATTCTGAAGGCACGCAGTTAAAAGTCACCAGCTGCTCCATGGGAGGAGAATGGGTAACTTCCTACTGTGCAATTAACTACCTCTGAAAACCTGTATGAGAGCCAGCTATGGGTTGGTTCCAACTCTACAGTGCACAACAACAATCTTGGAATAGATTGTCCTCCTTTATAAGGGGCATGATTGGAACAGGAGGTAAACTTGAATAGGGGCCTGAGGTTAGTTAGGTGATCCTAACTAACATGCCTCTGGAAACTCTATGAACTTTGATAAATGTCAATAGTTGTAGAGGAGCTTCAGGCCATTTGTTCATAGGGTCACTATGAGCCACGCCCAACTCGAAGGCAATCAACAACAACAGCACAATTCTGTCAATGACCTTTTGCTCTCTTCATGGATTATATCCTTGATGCCATCTCACAAGTCATCTTTGATCATTAGTGTTCACTGCCTCAAACCTATTCTTGAGATGGTTTTTTAATTCAGGTGAGATAGACTTAAGATTGTATTTTGGTCCTTGTGGATTTGTTTTCATTTTCTACAGCTTCTGTTTGAACTTGCACATGAGCAATTGATGATCTATTCCACAGTGATCACCTGGCCTGGTTTTGACTGCTGATATTGAGAGCTTCTCCAATGATTCTTTCCACAGATATAGTCAGTCTGATTCATGTGTAGTCCATCAGATGAGATCTATATGTATAGTTTTCTTTTGTGGTGTGTTTTTTTAAAAAACAAACAGTATTTTAATAAATTCTTGATAGTACAAAATTCAATCAGTAGATCTCCATCTTCATTTCTGTAACCAAATCCAAATGGATGTCAGGGGAGACACTGAAATTTGCACTAGAATGCCGAGAACTCCAAATCATGATGTAAAAAAAAACACACACAAAAAAACAACCCAGAAGATTTCAAAAGACAACTCAAGGAAACAAAGCAAAGTATTATAATAAAATGTGCTAAGAGCCGGAGTTAGAAAACAAAAGGGGGAGAATTTCTCTCAGAATTTCTCAAGCTCTTTCTGAAATAACTGAAAAACAAATTCAAGCCTGAAGTTTCAATACTGACAGATGCTATGGGCAAAATCTTGAATGATCTAGGTGGTTGTTTCTCTTATGTGCCATCAAGTCGCCTCTGACTCATAGTGACTCTGTGTACAATAGCTCTGAAGTCTGCCCTATCCTGAGCCAGTCTCACTGACTCTGACACACCTACTTCCATTATCCCAATTATAGTGTCAATCCTTATCTGGTATCTTCCTCTCCTGGACTATCCCTTCACCCTTTCGAGCATGGTGTCCCTCTCCAAGGACTGGTTCCTCCTGGCTACATGCCCAAAATATGTGAGACAGAGCTTCAAAATCCTTGCCTCCAAGGAGAAACTTGGTTTCACCCTTTCCAAAACAGACATGTGTTCTCTTGGCAGTCCATAGTATATTCAACATTCTTCTCCAACATCACAACTCAATGTTATCAATTCTCATCTATCATCCTTAGTCATTGTCCAGCTCTCTGATAGAAAATGTAATTTCCAGTTTTGTTGGGAAAAGAAAGAGACCCAGAATAAGTAAAGCTCTTCTGAATAACAAAATTAAGTAGGAGGCATCTCACTCCTTGATTTCAAAATCTACTACACAGTCTTAATCAAAAGTGGTAGAGGTACAATGACCGACATGTACAGTGAAATAGAATCAAGGACCCAGAAATTCATCTACCTGTGGTCAACTGATATTTGACAAGGAAACATAATCCATTAAGTGGGGGAATTACAGCCTATTCAACAAATGGTGCTGGCAAAACAGTACATACACATGCAGAAACCAGAAACAGAATCCACATCTCATATGATGTCCAAAAACCAGCTCAAAATCAGAGGCTTAAGGGTAAAAATGTAAAACCATAATGATCTTAAGAGACAAAATGGGTACAAATTAAGAAGTTGTAGCCTACAGCAAAATTAGGCTTACAAACATAACCAAAAATGTACAACCAGGAGAGGATAAAATCAATGAATGAGACCTTCTTAAAATCAAATCCTTAAGTGCATCAGAAACTTTCTCCAAATAGGATGAAAAGAAAGCTCACTGCCTGAAAGGTGGGAACGGAAACCATTTGGCTAAAACATTTCAGATTAGAATCTCATAACAAAAGTTTACAGAATACTACAGGACCTCCACAAGAAAAAGACTGATAACACAGTCACAAAATAGGCAAACTATATGAAAAGATTCTCCACAAAGGAGGGCATTCATATGGCTAAAAAAGACATGAAGAAATGTTCAAAACCACTAGCAATTAGAAGGTGAAAATCAAAACAACAATAAGATACTATCTTACCCTAGCAGCAGTAGCAATATTTAAAACAGAAAACAATAAGTGTTGGAGAGGATGCAGAGAGAACCACTATGGAAGACACT